CTAGCTAATTTTTTGTATTTTTAGTAGAGACGGGGTTTCACCATGTTGACCAGGATGGTCTCGATCTCTTGACCTTGTGATCCACCCGCCTCGGCCTCCCAAAGTGCTGGGATTAACAGGCGTGAGCCACCGCGCTTGGCCAGATTGGTGTTTTTTGTTGTTGTTTTTGTTTTTTGAGACAGGGTCTCACCCTGCCGCCCAGGTTGGAGTGCAGTGGCAGGATCTCAGCTCACTGCAGCCTCCTCCTCCTGGGCCAAAGCGACCCTCTCACTTCAGCCTCCCAAGTAGCTGGGACCACAGGGGTGCACCAGCTAATGTTTTGTATTTTTAGTAGAGATGGAGTCTCTCCAAGTTGCCCGAGCGGGTCTTGAACTCCTGGGCTCAAGTGATCCACCTGCCTCGGCCCCGAAGGTGCGGGATGACAGGCCTGGGCCGCCACGCCCGGGCCTCATGTTGTTTTTTCCTAGAAGAGACGTGTCTTTTATTTTCTACAGAAATGAACTCTGGGGCCCTACTGAGAAAGTGACAAGACAATCCACAGAATGGGAAGAAATATTTTCCAATTATCTCTCTGATGAGGGGCAGCATCCAGGGCATGCAAAGAACTCTTACAACTCAACTTTAAAATGGGCAAAAGAGTTCAACAGACATTTCTCCAGTGACACAGAAACGGCCGCCTACCACGGGAAGGAGGCCGGCATCATTATTCATGGGGAAGTGCAAATCAAAACCCCAATGAGGAGCTGATTCCGATTAGCATGACTGTAATAATTAAAACAGAGGACCGGCCAGACGCGGCGGCTCACTGAGCCTGTCGTCCGGCCTTTTGGGAGGCTGAGGAAGACATGCCACCTGAGGTCAGGCGTTCCAGACCAGCCTGGCCAACATCTTTAGTAGAAACCCCATCTCTACTAAAAATACAAAAATTAGCCGGGTGTGGTGGAGGGCACCTGTAATCCCAGCTACTTGGGAGGCTGAGGCGGGAGAATCTCTTGAACCCAGGAGGTGGAGATTGCAGTGAGCCGAGATTGTGCCACTGCACTCCAGCCTGGTGACAGAGCGAGACTGTCTCAAAAAATAGTCCAAGATAAAAATAAAGGACAGTAGCAAGCATTGGTGAATGAATACACAGAAGAGTTGGAATCCTGGCACATACGCGGCTGTTGGGAATGTAAAATAGTTTGGCCACTGTGATCCTCAAAATGTTAGACATAGAATTATTGAGTAACTCAGCAATTCCACTTCCAGGCAGGTGTTCAAATACTTGTGTACAAATGTTCATAGCAGCACAATTCACAACAGACAAATATTGGAAACAGGGCAAACATCCATCAGAGATGAGTGGATAAACAAAATGTGGAACATCCATTCAATGGAATATTATGCAGCCATGAAAAGGACTGAAGCACTGACTCCTGCTACGATGTAAAAGAACCTTGCAAACATTATGCTAAGGGAAAGGCACCAGACACAAAGGCGGCAGGTTGTGTGATTCCACTTACTGCAGGGAAAATGCCCAGAACTGATGGACCACAGCAACAGGAAGTCGGGCCTGTTACCGGGGGCTGGGGAGGAGGGATGGGGGTGATAACATTCAGAACTCCGTAGAGTGATGGTTGGACAATGTGATGAATAACTAAACACCACTGAATTACATTCTTTAAAATGGTTAGCTTCATGTTATATGAATTTCACATTAATAAAAAGCAAAACTGAAAAAGGCTCATGATACTTTCACCGGTTTGTAATCTGCTTCATTCACTGAACAGTATGTCATAAACATTTATCTAGGCCGGGCAGGCGCGGTGGCTCACGCCTGTAACCCCAGCACTTTGGGAGGCTGAGGCAGGCGGATCACCTGAGGCCAGGAGTTTGAGACCAGCCTGACCTACACGGTGAAACCCCATCTCGACTAAAAATATATAAAAAAAAAAAGACCGGGCGCAGTGGCTCACGCCTGTAATCCCAGCACTTTGAGAGGCCCAGATGGGCAGATCACTGGAGGCCAGGAGTTTGGGACCAGATTGGCCAACATGGTGAAACCCCGTCTCTACTAAAAATGCAAAAAGTTAGCTGGGCGTGGTGACGCGAGCCTGTCATCCCAGCTACTTGGCAGGAGAGTCACTTGAGCCCAGGACGTGGAGATTGCAGTGAGCGGAGATCGCTCCACTGCACTCCAGCCAGAGCAAGACTCTATCTCAAGAGAAAAACCCAAAACGCAAAAAACACACACCTGTGTTGGTGGATACATCTACGCAACTTGTTTTAACTGCGGGACGAGTCCCTGACAGCACAGGGTCGATTTAGTTAACCATTCCCACAGCACTCAGTGTGTGCCTTGTTGCCACATTGCTGCTGTGACATACGGCACATAGTGGGCAAGGGCAGCTAAGACTCAGCAATAATACATAAGATTCAAGTAAATAAACAAGTAGAAGAGTGAAAAAACAACATATTCTGAATATGAATCCTGGCCCTTCCCCTCTCCCAGCAAAAATGTAGTGGGGCACAAACGTTAGCGTGTAAAAACCAAAGACGCAGCCGGGTGCAGTGGCTCACACCTGTAATCCCAGTGCCTTGGGAGGCTGAGTCAGGAGGATTACTTGAACCCAGGAGGTCAAGGCCGCAGTGAGCTATGATCTCACCACTGCACTGCAGCTTGAGCAGCAGAAGGAGAACTTGTCTCATAAAACAAAACACAGGCCAGGTGTGGTGGCTCACACCTGCAATCCCAGCAATACTGGGAAGCTGAGGCAGGAAGATCACCTGAGGTCAGGAGTTGAAAACCAGTCATGGCCAACATGGTGAACCCACATTTCTAGTAAAAATACCAATATTAGCCTGGCATGGTGGTGGACACCTGTAATCCTAGCTACTTGGGGGGCTGTGGCAGGAGAATTGCTTGAACCCAGGAGGCAGAGGGTGCCGTGAGCCGAGATCGCATCACTGC